TTCGTCTTCTTCTTAAAGTTGTTTGTGCAGTAGATGTAGGATATCTGTTTCCAGGTATTGTGGCTCCATGTTACATGTCCCAAAGGTGTTTTTTCAAAAGACGACTGGACTTTATTTTTTTTCCTTGAAGATATTTCACTTCTCATCCAAGAAGCTTCCTTCAGTTCTCAGTGGAAGAAGGCAACGACTGCTTCAGAATTGAAGAAGCTTCTTGGATGAGAAGTGAAATGTCTTCAAGGGAAAAAAATAAAGCCCAGGTGCCTTTTGAAAACACACCTTTGGGACAACCATTACCGTGGTGATTTAGAATCTCCATAGACTTAAAAACAACTGATTTTTTTTTCTCTCTCTTTTTTTTGCACTTTGACAGAAGCTTCTGGCACATCCCACGGCCTTCCCCAGATGCAGCAAATGCTTTTGGCCAGTCCTGCTGAGGAAGCAAACCCAGACTCCAACATTTCACATTTCCTGGAGCCTCGTGATTATATGTTTTGCCCTAGGTCTTATCCCGCCCCACCACCGGACTGTCCGTCACTGTTTCATTATCAGAGCATGGAATTTCTCATCGAACCAGCCAATCCGACACCTGACCTGGTGACGTCAACCACATCAGGCCAGGCCAGGGAATTGGCAGACAGCCTTCCTTGTGGGCAGCTGTTAAATAAATCCCCCCTTCATAATTCTGGGTTTCCTTTTTCTCCTGTTCGTCATTCCAACGAGGACGACTTCTCCTTAGAGCCGGTGTCTGAAAATAGGAACGATTGTCTGTCCTTTGCCCACAGAGCTAAAGGGATGACAATTAGGTCGAAATACTTTGAAATGGAGCAAGACACATCAGCTCAAACAATACGGCTGTCAAATAAAGGAGGACCTTCCATAACCCCCAGTTGTAGTGGTAACAATCTGGAAGATGGAGGGCATTGCTTTACTGAGACTATTACAAAAACTAGTACTCCAAATAGGAGATGTACAAATCAGTACTTTGCCTTGAAATTTTCACGCATCCCCAAGAAAAGGCGGTTGGAGGAGTTTCTGCATGAGCAGTTGCAGCTATCTGCCAGTTGGATAGAGAGACATCTGGAAAAAAGAAGCGAGCAGGAACCAACAGGAATTGTCACCAGGCAATCAAAGCAAACTGGAGTTCAACAAAAGGTAAATCTGCCCTCCGAGGGAAGGAAAATAATAATGAATCTCTCGATAGCTTTGGTTCATGAACCAGAGTCAGAGTGGAATGAGAGGAAATGCCTTTGCAAAAGAAATTCCACTCTTCTCTCTCGGCATAGTTTTGCGTGTATGTTTTGGTTGCCGATATAAATTTATATTGATCAGTAAAACATTGCCGATGCAGGTAATCCTTGACTTTGCCATAATTGAGCCTGGCAAATGACAACCTAGATTTTATCACTTTTTCGAGGTGGTCCTTCAAGTGAACTCATTGTTTACTAAGAATAGAGAATCGGAATAAAACCTTGTTTTTCTGCAAAAATATCAAAAATTGGGGTTGTGTGACTACAGGACACCTGCAAATGGCCATAAATACTGGCTGGTTGCAAGCACCCAAAATAACCAGTGAGTAGTTGTCAGATGCAGTTAGTGGGACGCAGTGGGTAAGACACTGAGCTTGTCCATCAGAAAGGTCAGTAGTTCGACGGTTCGAATCCTTAGCGCCGCATAACAGAGTGAGCTCCAGTTACTTGTCCCAGCTTCTGCCAACCTAGCAGTTCGAAAGCATGTAAAAATGCAAGTAGAAAAAATAGGGACCACTTTTGGTGGGAAGGTAACAGCCTTCCGTGCACCTTTGGCATTTAGTCATGCCAGCCACATGACCACAGAGACATCTTCAGATTGCGTTGGCTCTTTGGCTTTGAAACAGGTGAACACCGCCCCCTAGAGTCGGGAACGACCAGCACATAAGTGCAAGAGGAACCTTTACCTTTAATTGACACAACTTCAGAATAACATTGTAAGTACTTTTTTGGGGGAAGGTGTCTGTCATTAATTCAAACAGTCACTGCACCATTGTAGTAAGTTTAGAACTACCTTTAATTATATTTAGTGAGAGACCATAAGGTGGCAATGTTTAACGTAAGATTTTCTCACTTGTGGAATGCCAGTCCTCAACCTACGACCACAATTGAGCCCAAAATTTATGTTGCTGAGACATTTGTTAAGTGAATCACTGCAATTGTTGCAGTGCCTAGGTGGCACAGTGGTTAGAGTGCAGTACTGCAGGCCACATCAGCTGACTGC